CTCAGCAACCCAGACCAGGTGAGGAACCCCCCACGTGGGCAGCCCCACGGGGTCATTTCCCCCACTCAAGCCCCCTGAGATCAAACCTCTTGGTGTGTGGAGGTCCAAGAGGCAGCGTCCCACCCTGGCCCCCCCTTCCCTCCCCTCTCCCTCCGTGCTGAGCCATGGCACTGGGTGGATCCTGCAGCAGGAGCCCCCTTGTCAGCACTGCTGCCCACCAGGACTGAGGTGAAGAAGCACAGAGGTGTAGACCAAGAGGAGGACCAGGCAACAGAGAGAACAGAGATGATCCATGGGATGTTTAAATGATTCTCACTTTGTTTTATAGAAAGACACCGACCATGATCTAGTGGGAGATGTCTGTGACACCAACCAGGACAGGTGAGAGCTTGCTGCAAAAAGCCTCCTTGGGTTGTGTGGCACAGAGGGGGAGAAGGGATGTTGGGAGCTCCTGGCTTGGCCTTAACTGATCAACAGACCGAGGTTAAGGGGGGTGGAATTTCCTTTGGACCTCAGAAGCTCGTGCCAGTGGAAGTGTGGCCCTGAGCTGGCCACGAGCAGGACTGGCCAACGTCAGCTCCTGCCCCCTCATCTGTCCATGCACCACTCCAGGAGTGTTTCTGGTCTCCTGTTGGTATCACCAGCAGCTGAAGACTTCATAAAGCTCAAAGCAGCCCCTTGTGCTGGTCCTGTGGAGGGTCCCAGCTCCAGGGAGGTGCTGCATGCCTGTTTGAGGCATTATCCCATGTCCAGGGGTAATCCTGACCCGGAATTTTCTCCCCCAGCGACGGGGATGGGCACCAAGATTCACGGGATAACTGCCCAACAGTGCCCAACAGCTCCCAGCTGGACACAGACAATGATGGGATGGGAGATGAATGTGATGATGATGATGATGATGATGGGATCCCCGATGAGAAACCTCCAGGCCCTGACAACTGTCGGCTCGTCCCTAACCCAGGCCAAGAAGACTCAGATGGTAAGAGCAACAGATGCACATCAGCTCTGCTGGGGAGGTGCTCTGCTCCTGGTGGCCAACGGGTTTGAGTTTGACCTCTAGAGACAGACAGGAATCAAGATCTCCTCAGTACTGATGGGACTGTCCTGCAGCATTTTCAGGTCTCCAGTAACCCTGACGTCAGGATCATAGTTGGGAAAAGTTCTCTTCCAGAAGCAGCTACAATTTGAGGCGTTCCTTCTGTTTGCAGCATCTCTGCAAGTAGGAGGAGCCTCAGGTCAGAAGGTTCTGGCTCAGAGGAAGAGTGCACCAGTGCTCTGCACACCTCTGGACCTGGCGTCGACGTGGCCACCTCAGCTGTGCGAGCCAAAAGCTGAGGAAAACCCGTGTGCAGGGAGGAATTAATGAGAGCTTGTTCCTCCTTCCCTTGTGCCATGTGCTCAGGTGACGGCGTGGGGAACCTCTGTGAGGATGACTTTGACAGAGACATGGTGATTGACAGAATTGATGTGTGCCCAGAGAACGCAGAGGTGACGCTGACAGACTTCAGAGCTTTCCAGACCGTTGTGCTGGACCCTGAGGGTGATGCACAGATTGACCCCAACTGGATTGTCCTCAACCAGGTAGGAGCCTCCTCCAGAACGGGCCGGTGGGTCAAGTGGCAACCAGCTTGTACCAGACTGGATGCATTAAAGGGCTCAGCAGGGTTGATGGTGCCCTTCAACACCCCAGGGTCTCACCCTTGGTGGACCTCTCCCTGGTCACTCAAGGAGAGGAAAGTTGGTCCTTTTGGAGCTGTACTCATGAGCCCATGTCCACCTGTTTTAGGGCATGGAAATCGTGCAGACCATGAACAGTGACCCTGGCCTGGCTGTAGGTGAGATGCCTCTTTGTGTCCTACCCCTGGTGAGCTGCGTGCTTCCCAGTGCAGCTCAGGCACTTCAGACACCCCTCAGGGATCCCATCCACCTCCTGGAAAAGCCTTTCCCATAGTAGGCCAAGTCTTCAGAATTTGGCTTTGCAAAACTCACCTACCCCACGTGAATCCAGCAGGAAATGGATCAAAATCCACCTCGAAACACAGACTCTTTGTTTTCCCACCCGGGACAGGCTACACAGCATTCAATGGAGTGGACTTTGAGGGCACGTTCCACGTCAACACCGCCACGGACGACGACTACGCTGGCTTCATCTTTGGCTACCAGGACAGTTCCAGCTTTTACGTGGTCATGTGGAAGCAGATGGAACAAACCTACTGGCAGCAAAATCCACCTCGAAACACAGACTCTTTGTTTTCCCACCCGGGACAGGCTACACAGCATTCAATGGAGTGGACTTTGAGGGCACGTTCCACGTCAACACCGCCACGGACGACGACTACGCTGGCTTCATCTTTGGCTACCAGGACAGTTCCAGCTTTTACGTGGTCATGTGGAAGCAGATGGAACAAACCTACTGGCAGGCAACCCCCTTCCGAGCCGTGGCAGAACCTGGAATTCAACTGAAGGTAAAGAAGCCACCGATCATTCAGGGGGGAAAGGTTTTTCCTTAGCTGTGCTGCTGGGGCACGAGGCTACGGGCAGTCAGCCCGTCCTCCAGGCTCTTCAGCAGCCTCTCCTCTGCCTCAGGCAGTGAAGTCCAAGACAGGCCCGGGTGAGTATCTCCGCAACTCCCTCTGGCACACGGGGGACACCACAGACCAGGTCAAACTGCTGTGGAAGGACCCTCGGAATTCTGGCTGGAAGGACAAGACGTCCTATCGCTGGTTCCTGCAGCATCGGCCCCAGGTCGGCTACATCAGGTGAGGGGTTTACAGCTCCCCAGCGTGGGGGGGTTGGAAGGGACCTCTGGAGAGCCCAGAGGGGGAGTGTCCACCTGAGGAAGAGTTTCCACCAGGGCTCATCAGTCTCACGTTCACGTCCTACCCACGCTCCATCTCTTCCAGAGCTCGTTTCTATGAAGGCCCTGAAGTGGTAGCAGACACTGGAGTCGTCCTCGACACCACCATGCGTGGAGGGCGCCTGGGAGTCTTCTGCTTCTCCCAGGAGAACATCATTTGGTCCAACCTCCGCTACCGCTGCAACGGTGCGTTGCCTTTGGAAGCCCAACGTGGGCATTTCACTGTTGGCTTTCAAGATGCCAACTTGGAGAGCCCAACAGGACGTCAGGCAGTAGCTCAGTCTATTGTTCATTTCTGGTTCTACTCCTAACCTGCTTCCTTTCCTCTCATCCCCCCAGACACCATTCCAGAAGACTACGAAACATTTAGAGTCCAGCAAGACTAACCTCCAATCCCAACGTCTGTCCAGCCAAACCTGCTTCCCAACCATGCTCAGCTGCCCCCTCCTGCTCTGGTGTAAAGAACTGTAAGTACCAAACCACTGCCCTGCGCCCAGCACCGCCCAGCACCACCCAGCACCCGGCAGCTTCTACACCAGCAACTTCCTCTAAATGGTACAAAAATCCTCCTGGAATGGCAGAGGTGTAGACCAGGAGCGTGAGCAGAAGCCTGGGCTCCTGCAAACACTTCTTCTCCACGCTACGTGGCAAAGGACGTGCTGAGAAGGCACCTGCAGTAGCTGGAATTGGTTCAGTGAGTTTAGCGTGGGGGAATCTTGTCCCTTCTCCAAGGCTCTCCCCTGTCAATGTTCTCCTTTTCAAGAGCTCCTGCAAAGCAAACCCAGCACTGGTCTGAAAAGGACACAGGCAGCAGCCTCTGTACCAGTTGTCTCCATTTAAAAAAGCACTTTAAGGAGAGGATCTTTGTTCTGGAATGTGGGGTCATAAATACGTGGAATGTTGGATAATAAACACTAGACTTCTCCTTGGTCACGTGCACGTTGCTTCTTCCTCTTCTCAAACATTTCTGACCCAGCTGGGTCACAAAGGACCCTCAGGAGCTGAACGTGTCCACCCTGAGAGCCCTCAGGAGTTCAGTGAGCAGCACAAATGCCCAGGGCCACTTTTCCTTCAAGCCCCTCCCTCTGCTTTGTGCCTCCCACTCCCCCCTGGTTCTTGTAAGCGGTGGTTAGTTTTAAAACAACAGCTTTACCTCAGTTTACTTGAGCTTTTCCAGAGGGTGGTACCCTGGAAAGCCCCAAATCCTGTGCTGCTGCCATCCCTGCGCCCTCCCCAGTGAGCAGCAACCGAGCCCAGGCTGCCCAGAGAGACAACAAGAGCCCAGTTTGGCAAGATGCCTCAGACAGTCCACCAAAAGAACAGGAGTTTTGGTAACTGAGGGTTCACTTCCCAAGCGCAGCACCTGGAGAACATCTCCCTTCACCCTTCCACGAGGGTCATGAGAAGAGCCACTGAGTTTCTTCCCCTAACAGGAAAAAAACGGAGCTGAGCAGCCCAGGGTACAACACCCCCCACAAACCAACTGTAAGTACCAACAGGACGCTCTGTAGCTTGGAAAAACCCAAATCCTCCCCTTTTCCTTCCCAAATCCAACGACTCAGACAGACAGACCCTTTACCCCAGGAAGCTCCCAAACCAGGAGTGACCCAGGCTCTGGGTGGAGGAGAGCAGAGATGGGCACCACGAGGCCCCAGCCTGCAGGGAATGCTGCTGGAGACAGTTTAAATTTGGAGATCTTCACAATGTCCTGCATGTTTTAGATCCATCTGCAGCCTCCCCTTCAGGCAGAGGGTGGATTTCACTACTGTAAGGAGCCAGTTAACCAAAACAACCTGATTTTGCCATTCCTTTATAAACCCAAGCACCGAAAACAACCTTTCAACACTGAAACCCATCGGCCAAAAAGCAAACACACAACAAACCCAGCTAAGAAAGAGCCGAGCAGCCAGAGACAAAAAACCAGTTGAACTTTTATTCCATTTCATTTACAAATAATGCAAAGGTACAAAGACAGAAGCCTTCACACAAAAAAATAAAGATTGAAAAGAATGTACATTTAGTCGAGCTGCTTTTTCACATCGTTTCTCAGACTGCAAACACTTAAAGCCCACTTCAGGTTTCCACTTTACCTATAGAAAACCACAATAAATAAAACTCCTGTGTCGCAGGGAGAACTTCTCCAGAGTTCCTGTGCCACCCACGCTGTAGCTGAAGAGCGTGTTGCATATATCAGTGAAATAATCCATGAATTATCTTAATAGAAAAAGTTTTGCTTGTAAAGAACATTATATTACACTGTGTCTGAAAATGCATAAATCTGACATTTTTTTTTTTTCCCCAAGCTGGATGAACTACATCGAGTTGGTTTTAGCTGCCAGTCTGTGAGAGAAGCTGCCAAAAGCAGCTGTATTTAAATGTGATTAAAATCAAACTTCCCCTTCGTGAGCACTAAAACATTTAACTCCACTTCAACAAGGATCCTGCCACAGGTGGGGGCTTCTGTTAAGGTCACAAGAAAAAGCATCTCCGAGGTCTAATTCCTCCCCAAAATCAAACCTCAGGAGCTCCTGTTTTATGAGTTAATAGCTGATAGACACTACTTTAATTCCTAGGGGGTGTGACGCTGACAGGAGGGTGCTGGCCATGTACACAGGGTGTTTCTGTTAGATTATAATCCAACTCTGCTGATGCTCATGCCATGAATATTCAAGGTCCAGTAAGTGAGGTTTTGTTTCAGCAAGTCCTTATACCCCCCCCAACATATTAATCCATAAATATTATCATATAACTTCTCTACTCTGCAAGGTTGAAGCTTTACCTATTTATCCTCCCTATATTTAATGTCTTAGAAACTCAAAACTCGAGCCAAGCCTCATCTTTTCCTTTCCAAGGGAGACTTGTGGCACTAGAGATAAGCAGGGGCACTTGAGAGCTGCGTTTCTTTCTTGACAAACAGCCAGAGCAAATTCTGTTGAATTAAAAACCCTTCCCTTGGGGTGGTGTAATTCAACTCAATTTCTAGGAGCACGTTGAAGCCTGGGCGGTTTCTGAGGGAAATCCTGACAACTCCACTGCTCCAGCCACAGCAACCCGTTGGTAGATTTATAAATGGAGACTTTTCATCCCTTTTTGAACAAACCACAGCACCAGAAAGTCAAACAGATTAATCCACAGGACATGTATAACTGGGCAGACTGGGAGGGCTCCCCAGTGCCCGCGGCGCTTCCCCAGCAGGTCCCTGCTCCAGACCCTGCTCTTTAACCCATCCCAGCTCCACATCCAGCCCTGCCCTGCTCTGATGGATCCCATAGAGATTCACCACCCAGGGAACCCTCAGCCCTTCCCCCTGCCCCATGTCCCAGCGTGTTGAGGGACAGGCTCTGCTGGGCCCGGGGGAGCCCTGGTGGGTGGATGAATCTGCACAGGTCCTGCACTGATCTCTAGAGGTTCAGCACAACGGGCACCCAGCAGAGAAGAACATTCCTGGGGGCAGGACACACGTTGCCCTGAACTCTGCATCTTCCTCACTACAAGATCCCAACCACAACTGCAAACCTCTGGGTTTGGCTGCAGAACAAGGCTCCCTTCAGCCCCTTTTAAAGCTCTGCCTGTGTGGCACTGGAATTATATTCAATACAGAAAGTCTGAGTGAGCCAGAGCGTAGAGCTGGGGACGTTTCCCACCAATGATGTCCTGCAGTGGTGCCACCAGTGCCCTTGAAACAACGTGACACAGCTCAAGCCCTCCCTCCCCTCCCAGAGGCAGCAGCAAGTGCCAGCTTTGGGGACACAAAGTACCCGAGGGGTCCTGCTCCTGAAAACCCCACCCCGGAGTCAGGGCCTGGGGAGGTTCAGCCTCTGCCCACGAGAACAAGGAGACCTGAACAGACTCTGCACAAGCACCTCAGGAGCCCCCACGGTCTCTGACTGTGGGACTTGCCCTGCTCCAGCAGAAGCACCAACTGTTTTGGCTTTGTCTCATTTTCAGAGACACTTTTGAAGCTGAGCCAAGTTCATGAAGTGTGTTAATGCAAAGGCTCAAATACAGCTTCCAGTTGAAGAACGTAAATTTCCAGCCAAGAGCAGGGAGGGAGATTTTGTGATGGGTTCTGCAAACTCTCCAGTCACCTGCCAAGAGCCTCTGTTGCAATCTCAGCTCTGTTTGCCCCAATATCTTTACTGAAGGATTCTCTCAAGTCCAAGGAAGACAGGGAGATGGACCCTGGGTAGGACTGGAGCTGTTTAACTCTGTGTGTCCCCCCAGCCTCTCAGGGTTTTGAAAACATTGATGGTATTCACTCTTCTGCTCAGACAGCAACTGTCCTCTGGCAGCATCTTCAACACCCACCAGCTCCCAGCACAGAAAGCCCACTTCACTCTGACTCATCTGCCACACGACACGAAGAGGAAGACTATAAACCAAAAACAGGATCCAGCATGGATAAACCCCAGGAACTTCCAGAGTGAGAAGCCACACTAACACCAACGTGCCTGTCCACCCAAAATCTGCCAGACCACTCTCCCTCCCTGGGAGGTGTCCACCACATCATCACCAGCCCAAAGGTAGCTCAGGTCTCCCTCTGTGGCTGGGACAAACCTTGAGCTCAGGTCTCTGTTAGCACCAGGAGCCACGTCACTACTGAAATCCAATTTCCTGGGCAGGAGGAATCCCTCCAGCAGCTCAGACAACCCTGTCCCCACCACACACAGGGGAACTGCTCATTTACAGCACAGCGACCAGAGACGGGTCACTGATGGTCCCACTGAGCACACCCACTGCTCAAATTATGGTTTTCCCTTTGAGCTCAGTAACAGGAGACAAGAACCAGCAACAAACAAACCATCACCACGCTCCCCACCAGGCTGCTCTCACACGGGGCTCTCTGCAGCAGCACGTCCTGGTTTCCCAAACCCAGAAAACAGGATGGCAAGGAAACATGGTTTATCCTCAATGTCCCCTCCTGGGGACACTACAGTCACTTTTTCTGCCCATGGCTTTAGCCCTGAACACATCAACAGCCACTGAGGGTAAGTACTAGATATAAATTAATTAAAAAAAACAAATCAAGTAGCAGCAGCTGGCAGTTGGGAGAGGCTGAAGGAGGCAAAATTCAGGAGTAAAATCATCTAAGCTGTCACCCTGGTTTCCACCCCATCATCACGCTGTGAGAAACCCTCTGAAGTGCTGTCACTGTTCAGAGGTGTCTGGGGAGTGGGATGGCGCCGACAGACCCACGGCAAGCAAAGCGTTTCACAGAACAGTTTGGGGGTTTCTACCCAAAATGTCACCTCAGAGCTGAACTAATTACTAAATGACATCACAATCTGCAGGACAAGACCCTTGCACACACCAGAAACACCAACGTGAGGTTCTCCAGCAAGCAGAAAACGTCCATCAGAGAGCTCAACAGGCAGCATCTACTCGG